AATGACTGTCCTTGACTTTTATTAATTGTCATTGCATATGAAATCATAATTGGGAATTGTTTCCTTTGAAACTTAAAAGGAATCCTGGTATCTGACGGTGTAAGCAGCAACCGTGGGATAACAACTTCTTGTCCAATATTTTTCCCCGTAAGCACCGTAGCTTGAATAAGATGATTGCCTAGTCGAGTAACAATCAACCTTGTCCCATTGCACAAACCTGAAGATTGATCAATATTCCTCAACAACATGATTGGTGTTCCGATCTTTAACTTCAACTCATGGTTTGGCACACCTGAAGCTCGTATGTTATTCAGAAATTCAGGAGAATGCATGTCCGTCAAGAAGTCTACGTTTAAATCTGACTTACACACTGCATCAGAACTCAAGTAAGTTTTTGCTTCTCCGACGTTGTTTAATGACGTCATGTATTCATTTATTTCATCCACGACTTCTAGTGTTGGTGCCAAGATTGCTCGACTTTGCAAATACGTTGGATCATTTGCAATACTGTGGAAGTCTGGATAAGTTGCTTTTACTATAGACGCAATAGGGTCATCAATAGTTTTTAACAACATATCTTCTGGGATAATTACCTCCCCAACTCCATCGTTTTCTCGCCCAGCAAGACCATCACCGATACTTGCAATCCACTCTGCAAATTCTCTCATGCTCTCAAAGTTGTCATCGCGAGACATGTGCTGTAAGCGCATGTTAGTTGTCAAGCGTAAGACCGTGCAATCTTTCCACAAATATGAAGAGTTAATCGTAGCACTCACGATGTCTTGCCTTCTTCCTTTAGGTATGACGGGTAGAATTTGTCAAAAATCTCCTCCAAACACAATCGTCTTTCCTCCAAAGGGAAGATTTGAATTTGTTGGACAAACTACACTCATTACATCACGTAGAGTTCGGTCCACGGCTTCGAAACAGTATTTATGGGTCATTTGAGCTTCGTCCCATATTATAAGTTTGCTCATAACCAATAAATCCGCAAGAGGTGTTTTGTGTTTAATATTGCATGTGGAATTTTCATGGAGAGCAATTGGAATTCCAAATCGCGAGTGAGCAGTTCTTCCCCCAGGTAATAATAATGAGGCAATACCACTCGAAGCAACATTTAACACAACATCTCCTCTTGAACGTATGGAAGCAGACAAAGTTTTCCAAACAAAAGTCTTTCCAGTTCCCCCATAACCGTAAACGAAAAAAATCTTCCCCTGACCAGAGTCGACTGACGACATTATAGTTTTATAAGCGTGACGTTGTTCGTCATTCAACTGTCCCATCATCTGTTGATGCTCCTCTTTCAATGTATGCCGATCATATTGTAATTCATCATGAATTAATCTGTTCCGAGTTGTTGAAGCTGCGTCTAGAATGGGAAAAGGCATGTCAATGAAATCTCGAAGAGTCTTGCCTCGCATCCTAAGTAACATCTCAATTTCGATC